ATAAATCTTTCTGAGTATTAAGCAGCGTACTTGAACATGACCAACCGGTAAGTGTTGGTGTGTGTGTGTGTATGTGAATGCGATATGCTTTTACAAAGCGCTTATACAATGTAAATAAATGAAACTAATGGTTCGTATAATCTTCTTAAAAATCAGTTTATCAAACTTTCTTCTAACTAATATATAATATAATTATATAATATAATATATAATATAATTATTTGCAAGAGAAATTATCACTATGAAATAAAAGATGCGAATAGATATTTTTTTGTCCGCCTATTGTTTAAACAAGTTCTCTTGGTTTATGTACGTATGATATTGCTTTGAAGTAACTTGACAACCAATAATGCAGTGGGACAGAGTTTACTTCTGATCCTTTTTTTTATTTCTCAAACAAGTAAATACTAGTTAAGGAATTTATATATATATGGTTTACCTCGATAAAATTCAGATGTACTCAAATTAAGGTGTAAAACATGTTATGGACAGCAAAATGAGTGTGATACTAAAAAGCTGTAGTAATCTAAAGTTAGATTACTATGCATTGTTTTACGTAAATGTTAAAATCGCATGTTGACTAGTTTAAAAATGATTTATATTTTAAGTAATCTGTTTAAATCATGTTGGGTTACATAACTGCAGGAAAATACATCCGTTAGATTAGAGAAACATTTTCCTGTGTGAAGTATATCCATTAGGATATGAAACAAGAACAAGTATATTTTAGCGAAAAGTATCTTTGTGGCGATTTCATTTTCAAAGCTGTACAATCGCAAATTCATACATTTTTCTAGTGTAAGGATTTGATAGTTAAAAATGGTTTGTAGAGCATGACAACACAAATAGTGTCAATAAATGAGCTATCATTAAAATCAAAAAACTGAAAACTGATGAGTAGTGAATACTAATCAAAATAAGCTTGACAACATAATTGGAAACTGAATTGTGATCTGGCAGAGCACAGCAACAAGAATGAATAGCAAATTACTTTAGACGTGAATAGTGTCAAAATAGAAAAATGAAAAGGAAAAGGGAAAGAGTAGAGGAGACCGAAAACTAAAACCATGAAAGGAGAAGGAGTTGAACAGTCTTCTTCTGCGTGCACAGTTCAGATTTCTACACATGGTTGACAATAGCTTCGACGATGCAGAGAATATGAAGACATATACCCTTTGGAAGGTTTATTTTCACCTTATAGAGGACTTTGAACGAGGAGGCTCTTGAAATTGTGTGATTTGTGTTCAGTAATAGCACTCCTTATCGCCCCATTGTTACCTCTTTGTAACCACCCGGGATAGTGTTCTTGAACCCTTCTGGATAACAGGTTGCATCGAACGACCTATATATCTGGCTCTACAAGAGCAGGTGAATTGATATATGCAAATAGAAGTGGTCAGAGGCTTTTTAAATGCCAAGACAGTTCCTAAATATTTCATCACTATATTTGAAATTGACAGAGAAATGTGGACTTCTTCATTACTTTGCTAAATCATGGTGTGATATTTGAGGTGAAAATGAAAAAGTAGGAGGTAGAATGACCGGTTCCCAAAAGATGCACAAATTACACAGTTCAAGTTAATATTTCTCACAGATGAGTCTCTCGACTGCCAAGTATGTTGTCAAAAGGGTCTCTGTTGGAGACCACCTAGCCAATCAGATCTTAGGTTGTGATCTCTGACAAAAAGTACCATAAACTAACGAAATATGCTAATACTAAAGAAATGAAGTAGCTAGAAAGCACTCAGGCTGACCTGTAGACTTCACCGGCCAGAAGAAGGAGGGTCTATTAATCTCCATTTTCACCTTTTAAACAATAATCAACAAGCTTCGGCCATAGAATTCTTAAAGAGCTATGACTCCTTGGCTTAAAGAGATGATTTCAATCAGTGGGCCATGGGTTTGAGACATGCTCCACCTACCCAGTTTCGAGTAGCCAGGTAGCATCATTAGTCCTCATACAACATGTGTGATTCATTGTATACTGTATGAAAGTGAACAAGGTTTCTCAGTGCATTTTTACAAAATTCTTACAAAGAAGATGGTGATGACAGTACTGACAAACGAATCCAAACTAACGTCTGACGAGTATTGATAATTTCAAAGTCATCACTACGGTACCTGATGTGTCAACTTACCAACTTCAAGTTTATTTTCTCAAATTCGAAGGGAATAAACAGTAGGAGAGTTTGACTATGCACCTCTAAGCTTAAAATTTCATCATCATTAACTCGCAGCAGTAAAGAAGAAGTGAAATGTATTTCGAATTTCAGCTGATAGGTAGTATTCAGTACCGATTTGTAAGTCATATATTTACTCCTCCCTGTCACATGATTTGCAGTCTGTTCATCAGATGATGAAGTGTTTACTTTCTTTTCGATACCAGTTCTCTTTTAAAATTCAAAGGAGAAGTGAAGAATGTTGGAAGATGTTTTCTGAGGCAGAAGGAAAAATAAATTCTGAATAACCTTAAAAAAGTTGTATAAAATTAGAAAGGACACTTGACATTCACTTCATATTCCATGAAATAATTATCTGTGCAGTTGGTAAATGCCCTCTGGCACTACATTGTACAGTTGATAACATCTTCGATAGTATGTTAGCATATGTGGTTTTGTACGCTGTCATCCACTAGTTCAAACACTTTATTAAGAGTCTGAATTCACACCTGATATCAAAGGTGAGTTACAAAAGAAAGTTAAAAGTGATAGCAATTTTTCTAACTGCATAAAAGGTCCCAAACTTCTTTGTAGCTGACCTCCAACAAACTTGCGTTGATGCCCCCGACTAGTTTTTTGAATAGGTTTGGAAGACTGATAACAACTGACCTTGTGATTGGTTTCAGTGTATGTTTAGCCACATATAAAGCTAGTAAGCCATTACCTGGGTGTATGGGGTCATTCGATTTGATTTACTGTTGTAACCATTTTGGAATGCACTTTGTGGCCTTTACTTGCATAGACCGATGGGTCCTTCCTATACATGTATAACCACACTTATAAACATACCCCAACCCTCAAATAGTGCAAGAGTTTCCTGAACTACATAAGTTTCGCTTTCTCTGTAAGGCTGACCTCTGATGTAAAATATGTTATTTCGATAACTGCCTTAGATTTGTGTCTTTGGTCTTCAGGGTATAATTTTTGTCTGATAATACTTCGATGTGGTTTTGTGTTTCCTCCTCTAAAGTATCATTCGTCGATATTATTTGGGTCACATTATGCATACCTTTGACCAGCTCCCTTTTTTTCAACCAGCCTCTTGGTAGGTGACATAAGGATGTCTGCTAGCGATGTACCTAAAGAGCTTCCCTTTCCAAAACCCTCGAATATAAATTTAGTATTACTGGTACATAAAAGCAGCTGCTCATCCTGTGGATGTGACATGTAACCAGTGCATCATCTTTTTGTTTGGGTGATTGTTACTCAGATACCTTATAGTACAGGTTGTATCTTAGAGCAATCTGGAGGCCAAATATCTCCGCTATAGTTTTTTCTTAGTTTAACAGTTATAACTTACTAAGTTAAGCAATTACTTGGGGTGAAACTTTCATGTTTTATTCTGGGAAAATGAACAACCGAAGAAACTACTTATTTCTGAGCAAGCATCAAAATAACACTTGGAAAATACAAAGTTCTTCTGATGAACAGAAATTATATTCAGATTTATTACTATTTATGAATATACTCGTAACTCCCCATTGTTTTGATATTCTCTCTATGGACTATTGATTATTACAATCTGACAAAAAACGAGTTGAAATGTTATTATCAAAAGATGATAGTAAATTTAGTAACTTAAAAAATAAATGCGTTCTGCTTTCAAAGAAGGGGGGGTTCACTTCGTCAATACGTATACATCCTGTGGATGGAATGATATCCAAAACGAGATCACCTATTCTATTTAAGGGAATTAACAGAACGAGAATGTTCAGCATTTAAAGGATTGCTACTTCTAATTATAATAGTAAAGGAAGATTAACAATGAAAATTTCAAATAATAATTATTATTATTATTAATTACTGTAAAATAGTTGTGTTTCCCCTTAGATGAATATTACTGAATCTGAAATGAGCTTCTTTAACATTATTGACTTGTTTTACAGTGATAAATGTTTTAGGATGTCAAACAGGGACTCCAACGTCTCCTACTGATCATTTTTTTAAGGCATCTACTTTCAAATGTCAAAATTTTTAGATCTATATGACTGATAATTTATCATAACTAACTGATGGAAGAACAGTCATTCATCGATCGTATTCAACATTATCGGATCTCGGATTACTGTATCTACTGAAAAATAGCAACTGGACACTTTCATCAATGGACGGTGTACATTTTTTTTGTATTCATCACATCTATTGGACTAGCACATTTCCAAGGTTTCTTTTTCAGGTGTGAATATCTATCAGCAAGCACAAATAAATCTTAGATGAATGATATTCGTTGAACTTCACAAGTGTACACATACACACAGTTTCCTCTAGTTTGTCAAGTAACTAAATAGTTTCATTCGATGACCCGTCTAATACAGATCACTAAGGGTAAATGGGAAGAAATATCGAAGTGGACTAGATGAATTTTTGCACTCTAGTTAAGTAGACATTTAGTCACATCTACTATATGAGAACTAACGATACTCTCTGGCTATGCAAACCTTTGTAATTGGAGCAGCGTTTGAACCAGCAAACAATTGGCTGGAAGTCATATCTCCAAACAAATGAATCACAGCAACATGAAGGGAGGACAGGAAGAAACTGTAAGAGAATCTGCATAGTCTAAATAGTTCAGTATTAGCATGTTTATCGATATTAATAGACGAAATTAACTAATCGGCCTGGATTTCCTTGATACTGTCGATAAATACAGATAAGTAATATGTAACCTTGATCATAAAGTTGCTACAGAACGCTTAACAATGGATATGGATTAAAACAATACTTAGAATGATTGTCAAAAGTTTAGATATATTTGAACAAATTTCAATTAATAAAACTTACTTTTTAAATTGTGTTGAGTATGTGTGTTGGTTAATGTTGATATACTAGAGGTATTCGAAAATAATTTATTTGATACAAATGATGAATCCATTTTGGATAAACTAAATGGAATAGTATCCATCATGGCGAGATTTGGAGAACAAGAGCTGATAGTATAATTATTATATTGATTATATGAGGATATATTCATCAAAGTATCATTGAAGTGTTCTGATGATTTGGTAGGCATTAAATTGACTACTTTATCATGTTGATCACACTCATGATGATAATGCAGTTGCTGTTTTCTTTGTTGTTGTTGTTGCTGTTGTAAGATGTTATTTGAACATGATGAAGACGATGAGGATGATGCTGACGATGAAAAAGAGGGCAACAATGGTGATGAAGGTGATAAGGCTTTAATTAACATTCCACTTGTATTCCATGTCTCATTAATTGGACTTTCATCTACTATCAGTGGTGATGTCATCCTTAAATCTAACGCTTGAGAACAGATTGTTGAAGAAGTTGTATTACTGTTAGCAATAGTATTTGTGTTAATAGTATCACACGTAACTTGTGGGATAGAATTCTTCTCCATTTGTTGACAAAGACATTTAATACACTCGGATAAATTTTGATGTAGAACAGACTGAGGTGATATCATTCGCTGTTTATTGTTTTGTATATTTCTGCGAGTATCTACATTCAACATATTACAATCATTAAGCTGGTTAACATAGGTGTCGTGAATAGAGATACGATTTACTTTCCGTGGGTCCAGATCATCATCATCTTGATTATACATTGGTAAATTCCTTTTGAAACCAGTTTTAATCAAAGGCACACCTTGTTGATTGTGATCAATTGTTTCAGAAACTTCAAAATCATTTGTAACAAGAGGATCATGAGGTGTTAGATTGTTATTTTTCAGTGTGAAATCATTCTTTTGTTTATTAACGCCTATTGAGATACTGGTATCAGTATCATCATATACAGTAGTCCTATTAACAGTTGTAGGGACCATAATGGTATTGGTAATTGGATAACAATTTGTCCCAATTTTCTCTAGCATTTACCTTACAATAGATCTTAGTTAAAAGATTATCTATGCTTCCGCTCGCTATTCTTGTTCTCTTTATAATGAAATAATTTTCAGATTAGTGAATTTCTGTTATTTATGCATTTATGGTTAAAATACACTTCAACTGCACACACACTTTCATAATATGTGCTTGTGTAAGTGTGTGATTCGTTTCTCTTTATTCTTGTCTCTCATTTTCCTCCCTTCCTTGGTCACTTATTTTTCTATTTTTTTCTAATTATAAAGACACAATTTTGTGTATGTGTGTTCATGTGTTGTCTGCCTAGCCATAGTGTCTATATCTGATTGCACGAGCCTAAGCACTCAGGCACAGAAATAATCTTATGATTGTATATAAATTTTTCATAATAAAAAGATCTATTATTTTGTAAAAATTATTTTTCTGCCCTTTCCATCATATTGGTTATTCTTTCCAAGTCTTTTTCTTTCCGTCCAGGATGTATTTGCCCTCTTCTTCTTCTTCTTCTCTTCTCTGGCTCTCGCTGGATCAGTTAATCTTGACATTTTTTACTTTACGCTACTAAGAAAAAACTTAATAGGGAAACTTGAAATAACGGCCACAATAATCACTATCAGTTTGACTATCTGAGATAGCCGTAGTTTGGTGGACTAATATTTATACTGGGTGGTGATTGAAAGTGAAATGAAAATTTGGACCGCGGTTGGATTCGAACCAACAACCAGGGGGTTTACGGCCCGATGCTCCACCAACTAGGCAGCCAGTGTCAATACGGTCAAGCGGTAGAAATGCATCATGAATTCACATGGTAATCGGGCAAATCCCATGGTGATTGAAGTGAAATAAAAATCCGGTCAGCAGACCAACCTCGTTGTTCAGTTAGTAGAGGATTGGGTTGAAAACCTAGTGGTCGCTCGTTCGAATCTGTCCGAATTTTCATTTCACCTTCAGACACCACGCGGTATAGATATTAATCATATTTATGCTGAGTATATAATTATTAGAAACCTGTAAGTCTCAATACATTTTGTTTTATGAATACGGTCCGAAATTAAGGAAATGTCGGGGACTAGGTAACTGTGAATATTCCAAACTTTATTCATCACGGACTGACATCAATTGGAAGACCACTTAAAAGACTTAAAACAATGGAGAGCTGTTTCATCCTAGTACAGGACTCCTCAGTAGTACTCACCCTTGGTCCCAATCCACCGCAGATCGGACGGGGAATCATAAGGTCTCGCGATGTACGCGCTAGCCATTCAATCACGTTGTCGGAGTTCAGAGGTTCGTAGTTTCCTACTTCTGTCAATTCGCAATGCGGAGCATGTCACTAATAACAGCTAGACATCAATGGAGTTTAGGCTAGATAGGGATTTTATTTTAGGGTAGTAATTATCACGGATTGATATCGGTCCGCGGGCACTGGATAACTATTTCTTCCTAGTATGCCTATTTGTGTAACTGAGTCAATGAACCAGTGCTGGTGGATTGTATCGCATCCATTTGTAACCTGGCCTAATTAGTTCACTCTACATTTACAAATTTATGAAACATAGATAAATGTGACTGTTTTTGGATGTATCCATTATCTTAAAAGCTGTGCTTAACACTTGTAGCAGTGTCTAGGCTGACAGCAACGAAGATGATTATAGTGACGATCGCGTATCAAATATTTTCAATAACTACTGACACAATTTCAAAAAGTTTCGTGCGTGTTTTTTGCGTGGATGTCTTCACCAGTGTATATACCCCATGATTATATTAAATTTGTAGCGACAGCTAACAGTATGCGGAAGACATTTATTGGAATTTTAAGTGGCTTGCTTTTGTAAACATAAGGTGCGTTTCTTACAATCCAATAGTCTGTTGTATTGTTATAAACACTTGTGCAGTTTTCGCCACATACATACATGGTGTAATAAAAATTTATCAGAAACTGTGATCTGGTCATCAGCTGCGTCTTGTAGCTCAATTTGTAGACTGCCCGGCTGGTAACCCAGCAGCAGCTAGGTCATCTTATTCCACCTTAAAGCATCAACCTACAACAATCAGAACAGTCTGCTGAGCCACAGCTACACCATAATGTCGTACCAGTAATGAATGTATATGCTGGGCTTCCACTGATCGAATATTATTATTGCTTGTCTCTTGGGTTCCAGTGGAACATACGGCTTCAGTAGCACGTCACCACTTCACTCTCTTCTCTGTAGTCTTTTCAACTTGGCACCACGATTGCCCACAAGCTTTCATTTCTTCCTCACATGTTCTACTCCATGTCACCCTCTTCTCGGACGCCTGACTTGTCGTTTCCCATTTGGACTCCACTCGACGACCTGGCCTGGCGAGTGATGTCCCCAATCGGCCTTCTGAGTGTATGCCCAATCCCATCGATCTCCATCTTCTTCTGCATACTTGTTGGGTGATGGTTCTCCGTTGGTTCGTTTCCAGTCAGCCAAAGTTCCTTGTTGCTTATTCTTATCATTCTCGCCGTCTCATCTTCAGTGTCAGTATCAAGTGAGCGTAGATGGCACCTGTTGATGAATGTCTGTAGTTTGTTGGAAATGCCTTTCGTGACACGCCAAGTTTCTGAGCCAAACAGAAGCACTGACCTGATTTTGGTGTTGAAAATCGGCATCTCGTTCTTTATGCTGAGTGCAGTCGACCTCCACACTGATTTCAGGTTAATGCAGAAAGGCCTGTCTCGCTTTTCCGATCGTGACTTTAACATCCTCGTCTGTGCCTGTGTCGCCTGTAGTTGAAACGACGCTGCCCTGCATAGGTAGGTGCGTGAAAGAGACTACTTCCTTTAGGTTATTAGTGCCTCTTGTTGTTGATTCTGTTGTTCGTTGGTATCTTCTTCTCTACATTCACTTGAAGTCTCTTCCTCGCTGCCCTGCCTCTTTTGTCAACTTGTTAGTTTTCGCCTGCAGATCTTTGAGTTTTTTGTGACATTAGACATAGATCATCATCATCGACGGCGAAATCCAAATCTTCTAGCCTCTTTTCACTGATCCAGCCAGAGTCTGCCCATCTCCTCGCTCCTCATGGTTTGCTGCATGATCCAGTCCACCACAATCAAGAAGAACATCGATGATATTAGGTGGCAGCCTTGTCTTACCCCTGCCTGTCTTCACCTCAAAGGCATCACTGAGCTTTCCATTGTGGATCACTTGGCATGTGGCGTCTTCATATAGTTGTTGAATGAGGTTGATAAGGACTAGTGGCCCTCCGTATTGTTGAAGCAACTGCCAAATTACTTCTCGATCGACGCTGTCGAAGGCCTTTCAAATCGATAAAGTTGAGGTAGAGAGTTGACTGACATTCTGTACTCTGTTCTATGATGCTGCGTAGTGTAGTGCTGCAGTTTGATCGGCACATGATTTGTTATTCCCGAAGAAACCCAGCCAGTTGTGGTCTATCATCAACTTCTTTGAAGGCTTTCAACTTGATTTTGAAAGTTCCCAGCACTAGATAGTGAATGGTCTCAACTTACATCTTCTGCCCTTCTTCATCTTGTGTCTAGTAGGTTGCATCTCCACTTTCTTCACATTGAGATGAAATCTATCTGATTTTTAGTGTGTCCAGGTGGGTGGTGAAATCCGTGTCGCTTTGTGAATATCCTTGTGTTTGTACACACTGCCTGACTGCAATAACCAAATCGGTGAATGCGCAGAAATCTGCAAACAGTTCTCCATTCTCATTCATTTCACCAAGTGCTTCTAGACCCATAATGAGTTCTCTTCCTGTGTTGTCCACTCCCAGTTTAGCATTCATGTAACCCAGTAGAATTTTGTTGTCTTCAACTGGAATGGGGTCTTGTCCAGTACTGATTACAGTTGTCTGTAGAATTCCTCCTCCTCCTCTTCATCTGCATTATTTGTAAATGTATAGCGTGGCATTAAATGATTGTGACTTTCCTTCATTTTGAGTTCAATCTTGCTGTCATGATTTTGCAGTAGGAGACTGGTTCCCACTACATGAGAGCCTTCAATGTTCTTGGAGACTTCATGATAGCCACTCCATAACTCAGTGTGCTCGTGGTTGTTGTCCGGGTGACAATATTGGAGTAGATTATTGACTCCCCAGTTGACAGTTTGGAGAGTCCACTTCCATTCCACCTGCCTTCGCAGATTCCAAGCACTTCCATACCATACCTCCCTATGTCTTTTGCAATCTGGGCAGCCTTGCTATGTTCATACATGGTGCAGACATTCCATGTCTCTATGTTTACTTCCGCTTTCATCGAGAGAAGACACATCGTCCGACTGAATTCCCGAAACCTTTCATCAATCGGCGCCATTTTGTCTCCCCGATTCCAACGAGGAATAATTTTGTTTTTATGTTTTATATTTTGTTTGTGCTTTGAAGTTTGTTTAGCGATTTGACCGGTTTTCCGGGGTAGGGTTGCCAGCCCTATACCCAATGTTCCCTCTTTATCCGGGCTCAGGCTCAGCTAGTAACTAGTGAAGTAGTTAATCAAACGAGGTTACTGATAGAATATGCCTGAATATATTGTTGCTTGTAAGATAACTGAACACATAGGTCTATCCCTTAGGCAGATGATCTAAAACCCATCATTTAACAATCAGGATACTGAAGACGAGAATCAACATGCTCTACAGATACGTTCCTGCATTTTTTGTCATTTGTTAGCAGTCCTTGCTCCTGACTGAATAGAAGCTAGAATAAGCTACAATTCAAGCCATATATTTTGAGCCACAGTAATTAAAAACTAAATCCTGTACCCAGCCCATTCTGTTGTGACAGTCTGCTCACTAGAATTCAGCCCCTGAGCTAAACATTATGCTAACAGAAGCTTTCATCTAAACACGGGAATCTCCAATTTAACTCTCATGAGCCACCATTTTACGTGAAAGTATGTTGATTCATTCAGCAGGAATTCATTGTATTGCCGACTCTTGTAAGCTGACTAAAATTTGCGCTTTGCGAAGAACTGTATATTCTGAAATGACAGCTATGTTGGGAAACGGTTTCAGCACTATACTAG